TATATGTGTATATACCGTATTTTCCGCAGTATAGGGTGCACCAGAAAGTCTTCTATTTTCTTAAAAGCTAAAAAATACGTCGACCCCAAGATGGCTCCTTGCTGGAGACATGCTTACAATGTTATAACTTGCTGTTGGTTCAGTGAACTGTGTCGCTGCTTTATTAAATAAGTTTTTGTTGCAGCTCCGAAAAAAGGAGAGCTGTGGTGGTGTTTTTTTAAAACGTACACTTTATTAATGGTTTTCACAGTCTCAACAAATACAGGTACGTCTTTGCCTCTCTCTGTGCCTTCTCTTCTTCCGTTCGACTCGAGAGGCGTTCATGACCGCCTCGGAAAAACGTAAATTAACTATTCCTTCAATGAAACTACGAAAATTGAAAATAATGCATCAAAACAGAAAATCAAGCGAGGAAATAACAAAATTAATTCTATAGCCCCACTCCAGAATTTATTTTGTGATTTCCTCGTTTGTGAATACAGTACACAACAAAGGAATAAATAAATACTTCTGAGACAGTCCAGTCTCCGCCAATTTAACTCAACTCAACTCAACTCAACTGTATTTATAGAGCGCTTTCAAACAGCCATTGCTGCATACAGTGCTCTACATGGAGCAACTAACATACATACAACAATAAAGCAATAATCAGTAACAAAGATGGTAGTAGGCACCAAACAGTAAGACTAAGATCAAATTTACTGACATCTGATCGTTCTGTTGCAGCTACGGGGTTATTGAGTTTATTTTGTGATTTTCTGTTTTGATGCATAACTGTATTTTCAATTTTCGTAGTTTCATTGAAGTAATCGTTAATTTACATTTTTTGGAGGCGGTCATGCACGCCTCTAGAGTCAAACGGAAGAAGAGAAGGCACGGAGACAGACAAAGACGTACCTGTAGCGCCATCTAGTGGATGCATTGTAGATTGCGCCTTATAGTCCAGTGCGTGCAATGTATGAAAAAAATTTAAATATCAGCCATTTTTTAGTGCTGTTTTTTTAATGCTTTTAACCCTTTAAATCAGAATGCGTCGGCGGCGCCGCGTGTCGACAGTACGGTATTTCCAACAACTATTATAGTTAGTTGTTGAAAACGTTTGTTTTTTTGTAATTGGGCCTGAAAACAGGTTTTGATCTTTGATTTCATTGTATGTATAGTTAAGTATTGTATAATAACTGTAAAAAAATAATGTTCACTACTTCACGGATTTCACTTATCACTGGCACTTTTTGGAACGTAACCCCGCGATAAACAAGGGATTACTGCATACATACATACATATACAGGTATATATATATACACACTGTATAATGCCATTCTGTTTCATTATGTTTCAAAAATTAAGTGGTGGTGCAAGGTCGGCCGGTCGATTTTCATTTCCATGCAGATCCAGAAGATCTGAAGTTGTTCACCCATAACAAGGTCGTGTTTCGAGCTGGTACGGGATCATGGATACCAAGATTGAAGTGCAAACGGAACGCTTGTTGTGTTGCAATTACAGATTCGTTTATTTTGATAAACGTTTCCACAATGAAAATGCGATGCTCACCAGTCCAATTCATGGCAGCAACTGATAAAGAAACGGAAAACAATGGCATTATAAAGAAACAAAGTAAAATGGCATTCTATGAAAGAAAATGGCATTATAAGTACTTTTCAAAACTAAAAACACTTTTTTGTTTCTTTCCTTTATTTGCTTTTTATTTAACCTACCAATGTGTTTGATCATTTTGCCTGACCCTGTATCATCCCTAGTCCTCCTGTGTGGAGTTCGCATGTTCTCCCCATTCCTGCGTGGGTTTTTCCTGGGTACTCTAGTTTCCTCCCACATTCCAAAAACATGTACTGTGACCGTGAATGCTAATGGTTCGTGTGCCCTGCGATTGGCTGACAATTGGTTGAGGGTCGACCCCGCCTGTTGAAGATGGCTCGGACAGGCTCCAGCATGCACGCGACCCTTATGAAGATAACCGGATCAGATATTGGATGGATGGATCGATGAATATATATTCATCAGTCACATCTGGGATGGTGGCGGCATCCTTGGATGATAAATTGTTTAACTTTGACACATTTCCTCTCCTAAGAAATTGCAGTGAATGAGCAGAAGTTGAACTTTATTCATGGGCATTTTCTAATGCATGGGTGCCCAAACATTTTGGACCGAAGATCTACTTTTCGATCAACCAACATTCCTCGATCGAGCCGTTACCGCGCACGCGTGCATGCTCACGCACTGACTCACACATGCCATGATGAGCAACAGCCTGACACGGAGGCATGCGACTCACTTTTGCAAACTGTTAACTATTGTAGCTCATCTGTAAAATTTTAAAATGCTTCTTTTGGCCCTCCAGATTCCCATTCTTTCAGAGTGCAATCGGTGAATTGTTCACAAAATGCACTTTGCCTGATGATAATAATAATAATAATAATAATAATAAAGGAGACATCGTAACAGCTCTAATCGCAAGCTGCCATTGCAGACTGCTGAGCACTAACTTCCGGTGATTTTGTTCACGCGCCACCGTACGTTCAACGTGATCTATTTTATTTTATTTTGTTTTTTCAATACTTTTTGTGAAAGTGAGACTGATATGATGATTAGGGTTCAGTGTGCATTAACACAAAAAGTGTATTACTAACATGCACAGAGATACACAATGTTTTTTTTTTTTCCCCTTTCCCCCCTCGCGATCATGGGACCAGTCCGCGAGCTACCTGTCGATCGCGATCTGCCCTCATGCGTTGTCATATTCCAACAGTAGGAAACAAAACTGTGAGACAACATTGTGGTGCTGGTAAGACACCTTTATTTGACTTCACGGGGTTCAAATTAAAATAGATTTCTGGCAAGTGTCAGTGGTGTCCTTAAATATAGCTCCGGAAAGCCTGCAGACCTGATGTTGTCCTCATAAAGTCCCCAAGCAGTTAATTATCAGCAATGCTACCTTATGAAACCACTCCACTGAAATAGAAAAGCCATGTCACTTGCCTTACATGTTCTTGTTTTGACTGGTTGCGTTGTATAGCTGCACCAAGGGTTGCTAATTTGAATCTCGTTGTTGATGTGTGTTAATTTTTCTGGCTTGTTGCAAATGTACCCTGTTGCCATTGATACTCTTGACACACAACATAAGTGCTCATGGCTTCCACAGATGGGAAACTGATCTAAAGCACATTAGAGGTATTTTCAAATGAATTGTGTTTGTGATAGTCATGGCTGTCAATGAAAAGAACTTGTGCAATCAACCTTGCCTTTGACATGAAAGGGTGGGTGGGTCGGTGCTTTTTGATTTCATCGCAGTATTTCCTGAAGTAAAATGATGATAAATGAAAATCTTCCATCAGTTTTAGGAGTTTAATGTTGTGTATTCTTCAAAAGTTGCATCTGGAAATGGAATATCTCTCCACTGATTGGATAGGGTTTTTAAAAATTATTATTATTTTTTTTTTTAATGCCAACATTTGCCTGTGTCTCATACAGCCCTGGACGGACCAGTGGAACATTTGACAATGAGATTGTCATGATGAATCATGTTTATAAAGAACGCTTTCCCAAGGTACAGTGAAACTTGGAAGCCATCTTAATTCATCTTTTTTCTATATGCCCTTTATTCAGTCTTCTTTTTTGGTTCATTCAACACAATATTTAATAGTCTTCCATCTGTGTTACGTTCCTAGGCAACAGTGCAGATGGAGGGTCGACTTCTAGACATTATTGAAGAGTGTTCACCTGGAACCGCTCTTCCCCTGGCCGATGGTGTGCTCGGGTTCATCCAGCACCAGCTGGTGGAACTGGTGCGAGACTGCCTGGACAAGTCTCAGAAAGGCTTGGTCACCTCTCGGTACTTTGTGGAGCTGCAGGAGAAGCTAGAGAAGCTTCTGCATGAGGTAAATGCTACTGCAGTGTGACCTTAAGAAAAGCATTCATCTGTGCACTTCTGTTTTATTACCCTTGAATGTTCTTTCAAGGACAGCCAGTGAATTTCTGATGCCAGTCCACGCTGCTCTGTCGGACATTGAGCACTTTCAAATTGTCCCCTTATGATTCATTACATAATTTTCCCAGCAAACTTTTAGTTCGATTCATGTTTCTGCAAGGCACAGATGAGCAGTTTTCCCTTCATGGCCATCTTTCCTGGAGCCGTACACAGTTGAGCCTCAAAAGTTAAATACACCACAAGTGGTACAGTTTGGAGGTCAAAAAGTATGCCTAAAAAAATCAAGTCAAGTTTACTTGAATAGCTCTTAATCACAAAAGAGTCCCAAAGGGGTTCACAGGTCTACAGTTCATAAAAATAAGCATCTCCTGCTCCCAATTTGGCAAGAGAAAACTCAGTGAAAACCCATTTCAGGGGAAAAAAAGGGCAACAAATTTTGAGATCTCAGATGGAGGTTACCCCCCCCCCAAATGGATTACTGGGCAGCAATGAATGTCGACTGAACAACATTTAGCAGATGATATAATGGTGTAGAATGTTAGTTGAAACAGCATGAGAGCCCACTTCATAAAATGAAGCATCGCAAGTTGACGCCTGTGGGGAATATATCCTCCTCCGATCTTTTCCCACGTGGTCAACGCTAAGCCTCACTAGCCACATCTCTGAACAGGCGAGGAGCAGGGAGGAGAGAGGGGAAGCGGTAATAAAGCAGGCCAAAGTTGAGATCCAGGTCAATTTGAACAAAATGAAAATAAACCATCCATCATGTGACATCATTTAAGACAGTAGGTGAAAATGTGGATTTAAACCCAGACTCTTATGGGGACGATGAAAGTGTTTTTACAAGCCTTTTTGCTGAATCTGACAAAGCAAAGCACATTTCAGCACAAGCCACAATGCCCGGAACAGATAAGGTAGTGAAGGTGATTTGTTGTTTCTCCGTCAGGCTTATGAGCGTTCAGAGAGTGAGGAAGTGACCACCATTACTAAACTCGTGAAGAAGATCCTCATCATCATCTCCAGGCCTGCCAGGCTCCTGGAATGTCTGGTAAGACTGGTTTGCCTCTTAAGCCTTGAACTGAATACTTGAAATACAGATGTCACAACACAGTGTGATGGTGTGCTCTAGGAATAAGAATGATGACACTCGGCTGATGTTTGAAGTGATCTGATGGAATCAATTATAATATTTTGTCCTTGGAAGTTGGCAGTTGTGTAGCTACAGTGTCAAGTTGATAAATGCTCTGGTGTGTCATGTTGTTTGCAGTACTTTTCACCACTTGCTTTCGTTTCAAGTGATTTTTCTTCTTTCATGTTTGCTTGAGTATAAAAGGTTCCTCTACTGGTAACTGAGTCAAACGGAATGAACAACAACACCTTGTCTTATTTTTATTATTATTGTTTTTTTTTTTGTTTTTTTTGTTTGTTTTTTTTAGGAGTTTGATCCAGAGGAGTTCTACCAGCGTTTGGAGACTGCAGAAGGTCAAGCCAAGGTGAGCCAGGGGATCAAGACGGATATTCCTCGATACATCGTCGGTCAACTCGGCCTCACCAGGGATCCTCTTGAAGGTGCCAATCAGATTTGTATTTGTCATAGAAGGTGATCTGGCGATTCCTCCATTCGCTCGCATACACAGTGAGCGACTGCGTTGTTTTTTACATTTTTCTACGGAGTCTTACTTTTGGACCTGCTGATTTTATGATTTGCACATTAATTACCCATGTTGTAGTATTTGCTGAGATTTTGGCACATGCGTAAAGGACATCAAAATACAGTTCCACCAATGTTAAATTTTGCTTTTATTTGTCTTGCTCAGCGCCACTGTGACCTTTCAGCTTGAGAACAGTTTCCTCAAACTAAAGATCTTTTTTTTTTTTTTTTTTTTTAATAAATGTCTCTTTTTTTTGTTTTCTCTCTACAAAGGAAATTTACTTTCGATAAATGGCATTATAGGGTTAAATGTCATCTTAATTCTGTGTTTACAGAGATGGTCCAATTGGAACAAACAAGCCCAGGGCACAGGTCTGCCAGCAGAGAGTCTGATGAGTCCGGAGAGGCAACGCCAAGCCAGGTACAAACTACAAAGTAATGCAAAATATATAAATCTAGAGCTCAGGAGAACAACGTGCAATCATACAGAGCTTAAACATCACACATGATCCCCCATGATCAAAAGGCTTTTACTTATGGGATATAACTGATTTCTGGTTCCTGTGATTTATATGTTCTGTCGACTGCGATTCAGAGCCGTGCAGTTTGCACTCCCCCGCGTAGAAAACCACTGGAGAGTGACTTCGAAACGATCAAGCTAATCAGCAATGGCGCCTATGGGTGAGACCAAATTTCTTTGTTTGCATTGGTCAGCCTGAGCTCTCAGTCTTTGTGAAGACCAGAATAAAGAGATTGGACGATGTGTTCCAAAGAATTGATACTCGTATGTCATTGTCTATTTCCCCCATGTTTTTGTTCTTGTAAAATTTTGTTCCATTCCCCTACTTGTCATCTACTTTTCCTTCTTTCTATGCCCCCCCGTCCTTCTCTTATATTCCTCTCCCATGCGGCTCTCCCTGTCCCCTCGCAGAGCTGTATTTCTAGTCCGTCACAGGGAAACCCGACAACGCTTTGCCATGAAGAAGATCAACCGGCAGAACCTGATTTTGAGAAACCAGATCCAGCAGGTGTTTGTGGAGCGGGACATCCTGACTTTTGCTGAAAACCCATTTGTGGTTTCCATGTTTTGCTCTTTTGAAACACGGAGACACCTCTGCATGGTCATGGAATATGTAGAAGGTAATCCACATCCGCAGCGTGATATTTTCAGTGCACATATTTTTTGCTGTATACCATGGAAGTCAGTGTTTCTTATACCCGTCACAATTTGTTCGTTCAAAGGTGGGGATTGTGCCAATCTATTAAAGAACATCGGCCCTCTGCCTGTGGACATGGCACGCATGTATTTTGCAGAAACCGTCCTGGCTTTAGAGTACCTACATAACTACGGCATTGTACACAGAGACCTCAAACCTGACAAGTGAGCCCCCAACCTGCAACAGCTACTTATTAAAAGCTTTCATCGTCTGTGTAAGCATGAATTTGTGGGGTCACGTTGTGTTTGGTTTCCTTCCATTCTAGTTTGTTAATCACCTCAATGGGACACATTAAGCTTACAGACTTTGGACTGTCAAAGATCGGCCTCATGAACATGACAACCAATTTGTATGAAGGTCACATTGAGAAGGACACAAGAGAGTTCATCGACAAGCAGGTATGTTGTCTTTCTTTCGATACGGAGTTTGACTGACTGAAATCACTGAACATTACTGCCTTACCTTTTCACTCCACAGGTGTGTGGTACCCCCGAGTACATTGCTCCAGAGGTGATCCTGCGGCAAGGCTACGGGAAGCCTGTCGACTGGTGGGCTATGGGCATTATCCTTTATGAGTTCCTTGTGGGCTGTGTGCCTTTCTTTGGAGACACACCTGAACAGCTTTTTGGTCAGGTGGTTAATGGTAAGGAAAGTCTTGACCTGAATGCCTTATTGCGTCATCACTGGCAACTTTTCTGTTCTAGAAGTTGTGTTAGTCAGTGATCACTAACTCCAATTCGAATAGTTTCAGTGAATCAATATTGTTTGCTCGTTGGTCCAGATGACATCATCTGGCCTGAGGGAGATGATGCTCTGCCAGCTGACGCCCAAGAACTTATCACCAGACTACTTCGCCAGAGTCCGCTGGAGCGTTTGGGAACGGGTACGTGGCAGTGATTAAAGGCGGACTTGAATGGAGGAGGAAATCAAGGATTTTGCTGTTTTGATTTGAGGCAAGCATCAGTGTAGATGTGTCTTTATGCTCCTTAGGTGGAACTCCGGAGGTGAAGATGCACATATTCTTCCTGGGCCTTGACTGGAATGGTCTCCTGAGGCAAAAAGCCGAGTTCATACCACAACTGGAGACTGACGAAGACACCAGTTATTTTGACAGTAGGTGGATGTATGAATGGAAACTAAAACCAGTGTTTTTCAATCTTTATCGAGCCAAGGCACATTTCTTTCATTGAAAACATCCCGCGGCACACCACTTGCTGAAAATGTGAAAAAGCTCATTTTAACAATTAAGTGTTATATTGTTATTATAAGCGTTTTTTAACATTGGAAAATAACGTTGTATTATAACACCTTGAATAGGAATCAAAGCAACATCAATCCGGTATTTTATAATCTTTCATATTTATTCTCACTCGTTTGGATGAACACATTCATTCTAAATCGTTTGGATGAATACAAATCTGATATCCTGGCAGCAATCGAAAGACACAAAGCTCTTCTTCCACAGCCCTCATTCTTTCTATGTTTTTCGTTTTTACAGCAGTCAGGCTATTTCTTTAGCTGCTTTGGATCCGAACATCTCATTTACAATGGCTTTGCAGGCGGCAAGTATTAATTACTCTGCCACTTTTTTGATCTCGCCACAAGTTCAGCGACATGGTAACTTGCTTTCAAGGCTCTCTTGTTTACCTTTGGGGTATTTCTCATGCACGTTGCCTGTTTCTCCCTGTGTTCACGCAGGCGAACAAAATACTCCACATTGTTGTTTCAAAGTGAAGGGTGTTTTGTTTGGAGATGGAGTTTAAGCTTACTTGGGACAATAGTGCTATTGGAGAGTTGCTTTTCACCACATACCAAGCACAACAGAGTCGGTGCCGTTGCATCTCCAGTAAAAGTACAGTAAATCCAAATGAAAGTGAGCTTTCGTTGTATTGGATCACGCCGGAAACGTCGCTTGTCTTGAAGCTCGAGGCAATTCGCTAGCTGCTGCTGCTGCTCCCTACCGGTATGGACAAGTACTACACGATTACTCTGCTGGGCATTAGACTGCACAGGCATACGTATTAGATAATTTCCCACGGCACACCTGACAGTATCTCACGGCACACCAGCGTGCCGCAGCGCAGGGTTTGAAAAACACTGGGCTAAACAACTATATGTAAGATTTTTTTACATTTTATGCCTGATGACTGATACCATCCACCTACAGCCCGATCCGAGCGATACTCTCACCTAGGCTCTGATGACGACGATGAAACTAACGACGATGAATCCTCTCTTGAATTGCGACAGTTTTCCTCTGTTGCCCATCGCTTCAGCAAGGTATGTTTTCTTTTTCAGGTCGCTGTGTTACTTTCGACTAAACTCTGTGATTAGAAGACACTGAATATTTCTTTCCATTCTGAAGGTGTACAGCAGCACAGAGCACTTGTCCACCTCTACACCGTCCAACCAGAGCTTGTCGTCTTCAGAGCGGAGCCATAGCGAAGAGAAGGATGAGCGGTGGGAGGGCAGAGGCGCCTTTTCCCCTGGTGACGGACAGAAGAACCTGGCTAGCGGAGACAGAGCAGACGGACTCAGAGGGAGGTGAGAGCTTTCAAACAGATGAGGGACAGTTAAAAATGTTTCTCGTTGATCTGTTGAGTGCACAGAAGAATAAACTGTCTCTATTGTAGGGCATTGCTCCTTACAGATTGACAGGTCAATAGCATGGTGGCAAGTCAGGACTCCACCCTTACGTCTAAATATGCCCACCTCCAGCTGCAAAAAATCAGGATGGCGACAGCCGAAATGCCAAACTTAACCTTTAAAAAAGGAGTCCAGATACCACTGGGTGATGTCCCAGTGGTTGTGTCTTTTTTTTCTATATTTTAATGTGGTCAGTGGGCACAAACTGTTCAGAGTTCAGGAATAACTGACTCCACTTCCCCTAAAAATTTTGGCGTTTCAGAACATTAAAGGATGATTCACGACCACATGGCCGTGTTTTGAAAATGAATGTTACCAAACGTGACCTCGACCATGCAAGAAACCAAAGGCCATTCACGTGCTCATATGAAAATAAATTCCCAACTGCACGAACTGTTTTTGGCTGTTTCCACCCATTGTCCTTGTTGTTGTTTGTGTTAGCCTTTCTCAGTATTCCTTATCAATACACCAATGAGACCGATTTTTAATCCGGGTTAAAATAAATGTGTGCATTTCTCTCGCAGTTTGCGTCCTCGTGCTTCTTCCGGTTCCTCCCAGTCAGAGCGCACTGCTAGGCCGTTGGTATTAAACAGCACTCAGAGCCTTGACATGATGCCTCGCTTTGCCATCTCTGCTGAGGAGGAGGGTAAGCCTGGAAAAACATTTAGGTCTCCTGTTATTTTCAACTCGCGAAGGACCGGATGCCTTATTCTTCGTCTTCTTTGTGTTTCTAGATGGTATGGTCTCCAATCTGCGGCGAATTCGTCTCCGCAGCAACAGCACAGGCACCAGGCCGTCATTCCGCAGAGGCGCGTCCAGACGCATTGCCCACCAACTGGACACCCCAGAAAAACCGAGGCCGCCAGCTGGAAAAGTCCCCAAGTCTGCCTCAGTCTCTGGACTCTCACTCATTATTACCCCAGGTGCACGCAAAATTACCACCTCTCTACAATTTGAAGAATGCCTTATTTGTAAAACATGGAAAGAGGACAGGTTTTACAACGCTAATGTCATGAAATAACACAATGTTCACAGTAAAGGAGTTGTATATCTGCTTTTATGGTTAATATTTACATTGCCCTCTACAGACAGTTACAAGGCAATGTACAGTATACAATAATGGAAGCACTCAGGCAATCACCACGACCAAACGCATATGTCCTGTAGGTGGTGGTAATGCACACTTTACGGATCAGAGTTTAATCTCTGCTCTATCTACAGCAGAGGTGCCCAAGCGTTTTTCACCTAAGATCTACTTTTCCATTAACCAACCTCCCGCGATCGACCCGTTACCGCGCACGCGCGCATACATACGCGCTTGCTCACGCATGCCATGATGAGCAACAGCGACAAGGGCCCCCTAAGATGAACGAGACAGAAAAATAAAGTAGACACAAGAGTTGATGAGTTTGTGAAAAGGATTTCCTGCCTACCTTTGTGGGACCCACATTTGCAGCCTGTTAACTATCGTACCGTTTTAAAATGCTTCTCTCGGCCCTCTAGAGTGCCATCGGTGAATTGTACACAAAATGAACTTTGACTGATAATAATAATAATAATAATAATAATCAAAGCTACATCGCAACAGCTATGATCGCAGCTGTAATTCCAGACTGCTGAGCGCTAACAACTTACAGTGACACAGGTCACGCACCACCGCAGGTTAATGGTGACCTGCTTTATTTTATTTTATTTTTCAAAATACTTTTTGTGAAAGTGAAACTGATAGGATGATTACGGTGCAGTGTGCATCAACAAAAAGTATATTGCTAACATGCACAGAGATACACAAATGTTTGTTTTCTTCTACACCCCTCGCAATCGACTTGGGACCAGTCTGTGAGCTACTGGTCCATCACGATCGACGGCAACCCTGATCTACAGCAATGGCTCTCAAACTTTTTAACCCAAGTACCCCCTCAAATAATACTTGGCTTGCCTAGTACCACCATAATGACCACCGTTATGATGTTACAAAACTCGCAAACTTGGCAATGCTCGTCTTTCAGCAGACATATCATGAGAATTAGTTTAATAGTTTTTGGCCATTTAAAGGGCAAGTCAACCCCCAAATGTTCTTTACAATAATACGTTGTGTGTGCCTCCACTAGTCGAAACACGGCATTCTGATGAATATTGCGTTTGTGGAAAATAATCAAAGCATAAAATCCACTCGTTTTTGTCCATCTCAGAGGACGGCCATTTAGCCACTTGCTGAAATCTGAATATGACCTTGCACTTTCTCAGTGCTCAAGTCACGACCAGTCGCGGCTCAGCCTCAGAAAACAGGTGACCCTTGATTGGTGGTTACCTGAGCCCTGAGCAACTGTCTTGCTATTCTCAGCTGACAGAAAGGGGCAAAATGGCCACCCACGAGATACTTAAAAACGGGTGAATTTTGCTGCTTAACTCATATTCCACAAACGTAATATGAATCAGATTGCCGTGTTTAGATTAGTGGTGGCGCATAGAACATATTACATTTTGGGACTGAGGTCACCTTTAACACCACTTTTTACACCAATAGTCCAGGTGCATTTATCCATGAAGACTCCCATGAGGAGCAGCATGAATGAACTTTTCAAATATGCTTCCCATCCAGATGACTCAGCGGTTCCTCCTTCCAGCCCCAAGTCCTCTCTATCATTCTCGTCCAACCCCTCATCCAGAGACTCGTCCCCCAGTCGGGATCTTTCCATCAACATCAGCTGCCTCAGGCCTCCAGTGGTCATCCACAGCTCTGGGAAGAGGTTTGGCTTTGCTTTACGAGCGATCAGAGTCTACATGGGGGACAGCGATGTCTACACAGTTCACCACATGGTCTGGGTATGTGTCTGTCTCACAGGCGCTGCGGTCGAAACAATAATTATACTGAAGTCAAACTTGAGTCAACTATGTTTTGTTTCTGTGTGTGTGTCTTTGTCCTTTTTGGGCATTTATTGTTAAATAACTGTCAACATCATTGTTTGATTATGGCAGCATAGAACAGATGGCTTTTTCTCCACAAGTTTTGATATGAACTTGTATGCGTGTGTTCAGTGTGTGGAGGAGGGCAGCCCGGCGCACGAGGCCGGTTTGAGAGCTGGTGACCTCATTACTCACGTCAATGGGGAGTCTGTACAGGGTCTTGTCCACACTGAGGTGGTAGAGCTTCTGCTGAAGGTATGGGATGAAACTCACATTGATTAATTGTATGACGGTATATAGTTTCCTCATATTAAAAGATATGTTTGCAATAGAGTGGCAACCAGGTGACCCTCCAGACCACTGCTTTAGAAAACACATCTATCAAAGTGGGCCCTGCTAGAAAGACGAGTTATAAGGCAAAGATGGCTCGACGCAGCAAGAAAAGCAAGAGGAGAGATGGGCAGGACAGGTACATTGTCATTTTGATGTCTCCAATATTATTATATCACTGATTATTATTGAACATAAAAATAAAAACGATATACTGTTGACGTTTCCTGTTTCACTCTGCAGCCGACGGCGTAACATCTTGAAGAAGCTGTCCAAACATACGCCCCCTGCACCTATGCAAAGCAGTCGTAGCTTCTCTTCCGGATTCCACCAGTCATCCAGCGACAGCCTCTCTGGCTCCCCCACTCAGTCTCTCTCCCCCGGCCCGTCCACTCCCTGCCACTCCCCTGCTCCTGACCACTCTGGAGGTGAGTTGGAATGCTTTAACTTGAAATGTTTTCATGAGACCCACCTGCACAATACTGTTCGTATCAAGTTGCTAGAACCGATTTTTTTTAATTTATTTTTTTTAATACACAAACTTTCATGCTTATTTTTTCAATGTGTCTGAGAGGTAAAAATGTAACATATTTACTATTGTGGTTGTTGCTTGCAGTGTTTCCTAACCTTGAGTAAGCCAAGACCATAATTAAATTGAGTTACATGTGAAAAATCTCAGGGCACACCACTCAAAAAGTAGTGATCCCTCACTTATCGCGGTTAATGGGGACCAGGGCACTGCTGCAATAAGTGAAAAATGGGCGAAGGAGGGTTTGCTTCCCCCCTAGGAATTTTTGTGTAAGTATATGTGGGTACCAGCATGTTTAAAATATGTAAGCAGTATTTATATTTTACATATTTGAGACAAAGACTACAGCAGTACATGTATTTACTTAAATCTTTAATTATAAAACCTGATACAGTAATTAACATTCATCAGCATTGCCTTGAGAGAGACGCCGTTAGCCTCCAGCTAGCTCCTGACCAGCAATCCCCGTGCAGCTGACGTTTTTATGATAAGACAATTAATTGGTATTGAAGAGGAGGAAGCGAAGTCCCCCCCGCCGCACACGTAGCAAACAGAAAAGACAGTATGCCAAAGAATCAACCGCGTGACAAGACACAAGGCTTTCCTACTGTCTCGATACGCTGGGCGGGTCTGCAAAGATGCACAGCCAATCAGCTTACAGGATAATCCCCTCATGCTGTCATTGATCGACGTTGCGCCGGGAACCAATCATGTGCCTTGAATTAGTGCCCGTTGCCGATACAGTCTCGGCATGTACAAAACCTCTGAGTCGTTTGGCATTCTTTTTTTGAATAGAGTACTTTAGAAAAAAAAAACACATCGTACTGAAGCCCCAATAAATGAAGCGCAATATATCGTTTATCGCGGGGGTTACGTTCCAAAAAGAACCCGTAATAGGCAAAATCGGTGAAGTAGTCAGCTTTATTTTTTACAGTTATTATACAAAACTGAACTATGTATACAATGCAGAGGTGATTGCTTTAAGACTGCAAGGGAAGCTCAGCTTCCCCTAACATGTCAAAAAGTAAGTGATCAAATATATGTGTGTACGTACAATTGTGTGGACATGTCATTGACTAAATATGCGCTACAACGCGCTCAACTTTTGTTCCGAATCAGCTTCTTATTACTGGTTACGACGCGACTCTCTTCTCATTCATTCCCACAGCTTCACTGTGCTTTAAACTGTGTGGACGCTGAGCGTCGACCGCGCAGACGCTGGGCGTCTAGAGAGTTCAGGGTAGGTTGTCCCAATGCATTGAAACGAGACGAGTCATTGGATAAATGCTGGTTTTGTCCCGCTCACTGGACGCTCAGCGTCTCTGGAAGTCTATGGACAGTGGGCGTTTATGGGCTGGCCCGGACACTGAGCTTTTGTGCATGGTGATTGGATGATCTGTCTGAGGCTGAATCTCTTTTTGATTGACAGCGAAATGAGCCAATCATCGATCTTATGGTGAAGGCATCCTTCTCATTTTTTTGAAAAGGAACAGAGAGTAGAATTCACGTATAAATAAAGGGACCCATTTTATGATGTAGGCCGAAATTGAGCTTCCCCTCCTTGACAGACCAGCATCCGCCACTGATACAATGAAACCAAAGACCAAAAATTTGCAAAGGTAAATTTGGCAAGCTGTACAGAGGCGAGGTGCGGAGACTGTTCATGGTGGTCAGTCCCTTAGCCAATCAGAATGCAGAACACAATTCACTGTTTTAAAAAAAGCATTTAAAAAACTGCACTAAAAAAATCCGTGAAACAGCGAAGCCGCGGAAGGTGAACCGCGTTATAGCGAGGGATCACTGTATTGAAATCAGGATAATCTTAATTGTCTTCGACATTGACTCACTCAATGTGAAATCTGGGCCTGCTTAGTTAAAGACAAATCTACTACTGTGAGAAAGCCCAAATTGTTTTGCTGTTAGTAGTTGTTGGCGTTTGATACATTTTAGTATTTCTGTGTATTATTTGTCTAGAGCAGTGGTCCTCAACTAGAAATGCTGTAGGTCCACTTTTTTTTTTTTTTTTAATAAGACCAAGGTCCGGTCCCATGCACGGCGGTCATGGGGAGCAGGGCTATATGCCCATTTAGTATGGTCAAGCCAAGCTTATACAAATCAACACTCCTCCCAACCAACCAATAATGGGGTGCATGAAAATAACAATTATTCACTTTGCCAGTACACAGCAAATAATGAGCGGTATTGCGTTGAGGCACAGGAACTCTTTTATTATGTTAAGTTGTGCCTGCTTAAAAATAGAAATAGCTCTTTTAGGGAAATAAGACATTTTTACTTTAACTTTGTTAAAAGGTAGTTGTCTTTTTTCCCCTTAATTTAACAAAAACAAAACAAAATACTCATTTTACCAAAATAAATACTAAACATGAAAACAAAAATATCCTTTTCATTTGTACAATTCCCCTTTTCACATCCCCTCTGAAATCACTGAAAACTATATCAGAAGAGGAGTTAAGAACCATTTTAAATACTGACACAAGGGAGCACAGGAATGTGCAGTGCTGTTCTTCCACTAAAGGTGAATGCAATGTTTGAGACATGCAAATATTATTTGAGGACGCCATTGTGATGTTCATTTACCATGTTGCGGTGTTCTGCTTTTAAACAGCTGCAAAGATCCCCGGGTAGACGGGAGCAAAACTGCACACAATTGAAACCTCCATCGATTCGTCTTGTCTAATTGTCTGTGTGCAGCTCTCCTGGACTGAAGCTGTGAGCACAACTGTGGCGTCGCGCATGCGTCTGTTTCCTGACACAATCATCCATTTTGAATGCGTGTGTATTGGGATAGACGCGTGCTGACGCTTATGTATGGGCACACCTTAAGTTCAGAGGAGCCAATCAGCGTGTCGTTTTCGCCGACATGCCCTGCTCAGCCAGGGTCTGCAGTTAGTCAAACATTATACAACACACAGTCGCGCTGCTGCGGTCCTCTGCAATACATCTGTTAGTGCACGCAAAGAATACAACGGATAATTTTAACAAGCGATCGCGGTAATGCGCAGATTATAGTCCACAAATATAAAATGTATAACGTAAAAATCACTTTATAAATTACTTTATACAATTTGCCGAGGGTACGGACAGAGGAGGTTGGCGGTCCGGTAGTGGATCGCGGTCCGCCAGTTGAGGCAGGTTGGTCTAGAGCCAAACGCGAACGACGTTGTTTTTCCTTTGTTTCTTTCGACGCAGCTAGTTTTTGTTTAAAATTCCACAGTTACAGATTGTCTGTAATGCCAAATGTTTGATTTTGTTGCCTAAGGGTGAGTGTAATCATTGAGAAGAGGGGTGTGAAACAAATTTTTTTCACGGGCCACTTTTGAGTCAAGTCGTCACTCTGAGGGCCATTATGACAGTGAAACCACAAAATTATTACTTTTACACAACAAATTAATGGCTTACTAGTTTTGAAATCAGTCAAGTCAACTAGAATAGTTTGTTCAATTATTGTTCAGATGAGTGTAAACCGGGTTAAAAAAAATATTTTTTCTTCCGAGGTGGTGGTGATGAGGAAGCTGGTGCAAGTTGACACAAAAGATTTGCTTTGGCGGGCCAAATCTGGCCCCCGGGCCTAGAAATTTGACACCTGTGATTTAGAATGTTAGCGTCAAGTGCTTATTGTACACTATAGCCAAAGTGCATGCCCATGAGTGATGTCAAGGCAATAAACGCTAGTTAGTCATTTCGGCTACAAAACTGATGTTTCACATGAATGTGTATTGTTTATATTGTTTGGTTGTTAAATGACTGAATTCAGTTTACAATTGTAAAGTTGAAATATCCCGTACACTAAATGGATGTATATTCCACAATTGATATATTCTTTATCTGTGTTGTTGCAGACCACAAAAACATAAACCCTCAAATGAAATGCACGCTTGTGTTCTTTAACGGGAGCACACACATCTCTACCTTCTCACTCTAAAATAGAAACAGCTGGAGACATCATACTCACTTTTTGATGCTCTCCGTTTAAACTACAGCAAAACCCTGTTTATGGCGGGGTACACATACGAGAGCCGGAAGCTATATCACGAGCGTTCATTTTAAAGGCAATGATTAACGTTTTTCTCGCTCCCTACCATATATTGAAAAGTTTATCTTATTTATTTGCAATCGTCTTTTCTCTCCATGCAGATTCAAGTTCCTCGCCCTGCTCCAGTTCCCCGAACTCACCAGTACCTCAGGCTCGTCCCAGCTCCCTTCATGTCCTAGGCCGCTACACAAAGGCTGGTCGCTGCAAGTCGACTAGCAGTATCCCACCGTCCCCGCTGGCCTGCATCCCACCTCCCCAGCCTCTGTCTCCTCAGTGCTCCCCCTCCTGCCTTCCCAGCCACGCAAAGTCTTTACAGGGTTTTCACGGTAAAACACTGTCCCCTCCCACGATCGCCCGCCATTCCATGCGTCCGCACAGTGCTGAGCCGCCGCGCTCGCCTCTCCTCAAGAGAGTCCAGTCAGCCGAGAAGCTGACTGGTGACAAAGCAACAGGCGGGTATCATTGTGAGAGGAAAGCCTACAGCGCCCGCCGCCATACTATGGAGGTGCCGCTGTCTGAGAGCGAAGACGTGGAGGAAGACACCGCGACCGGGTTCGTCTGCGTGGGCGAACATGGCCGTCAGGGGCTGTACCTCGGGGGCCAAAGAGGCCACCAGGACATTAGCGGAGGAGGCAACGAGCACCACCGCTCTGCTGCCTTGCCACAACATCGCAGCAGTAACCACCACTCCTCCGAGGTGGTGGTGATGAGGAAGCTGGCTCTGTCCGAGCGCCGGGACTCCTTCAAGAAGCAGGAGGCTGTGCAGGAAGTGAGCTTTGACAATTTGGACGAGAGGGAGGCCACTCTTCCGGTCACTCGTCCCAAGACATTCAAGGCGTCGTGGGTCAGCTCGGCTCAGTCGGACTCCAAGCTGAAGGTGGAAGGAAAAGCAACACAGGATATGGGAGTGCAGCAGAAAGCCAAGTTTAAAGATAAAGAACGGTTTTAGATTTCGTCGCCTCACAAAGGATCTAATTTAATGACCAGTTTCTCCTGGGAATGTCTGACTTGCCGCTGTGTACTACTCACAAACATTTTGGGATATTGGACACTTGGGTGAATTTTCAGGATGACCCTAAAATGCACTCGAATTAACACAGTTGATCATAATTTGACTGTCTCTAAAATTTTGAATGCACATTTCCGGTGTTTCAGTACTTTTTGGAGAACTTGCGATTTTCTAACACAGAGCTGAATGGAACAGGTTGTGAGCCAACCAATCCATATCGAAGGTGAGATGCTTCCACTCCCTGTATTTGCTTACACTCTGTATTTCTGCCGACACTCAAATGGGTGCATCACTTCTGCATTCGATGTAAGGTGGCATGTTAGCCTTCCGTCAGCATGTGAACTCATAGTGACAACATGTGAAAACTGAGTTGAGGCTGACCATAGCGGCACACCTGTCACCCTAAATATGAATCAAAGAGAACTACATATTGTGTATTCAAAGCAGCAGATTCCGCTTAGCTTAATGCTAACACTGAAAAACTCCATTGACATGCCAAAAGTCAGCACAGATTGTTCAAGTTTCAGAAATGGTGGACACAAACAGTGGAGCAACACATTTAGACAGATAATATGGCAACACTCACAGGCACATATTCCTCATCCGCCATAAAAAAGACATTTACAGCCTCTTACTGAGTCTCTTACAGTAGCAGTACAAAATGTTTTTTATTACTTTTGCGTCTGCACGACTGCAGAGTACTATACTGCCTCCCGGTGGCCAAAGTGGGCACACCAGAAGAAGCAGCACCATAAATTGGATTGCAGCATTTACATTGTTTAATTATGGCATCATTAAGTACATTTTTATTGAGTGATATTTTTCCTTATTAAAAAACAAGCAAAAATGTTTTTTAGGAAGGTGGCTGGAACGGATTCATAGCACAATTTCAATCAGAAAAGATATGAGTGTTTTGAGTTGCTTGCATGGTCATGGAAGGGATTCAACTTGGATGTTTAGGAATTACTGATTCTAGATAAGGTGTGCTTATTTTGCTTGCCTGACTGTCCAGGAATGATCGTCATTTTGATTTTTGGAAGCTTTATCAGCAGGTTACAGAGTCAAAGAAAAGCAAACATCCTGGAAAATGTGAATTTTGCCATTCAGCACCTTGTTAGAGAACAGTGGTTTGTGCAAAAAGTACTGAAACACTGAACAGTTGGACATGTGCAGTGAAAATCTTAGACAAGGTCAAATAAAGTTCATCGCTAAAGGTTATAGTGCATTTTATGTACACCGTGAAACTTCACTCAAAAGCCCAGCAGTGCTCACGTTTTGTGAGGAGAGGAGTGTATGTTCATGTGAGACAACCATGTCACCAGACAACTGTGATCAAGTCCCATCACAAGCTTGAAAATGGATGTTGCACAGCAAAATACGCATCCTTCAGTCCCGTTATCATAAATACGATTGTCTACCTTTGTTTAATCCCTCGTTGATTGTTTTCTCGCTTTGTTCAGAACACACACCTACGAGGGATTACATTTTGTAAATATACTTGTGTTTTAAATGAAAATGCATATTTAAAACTTTATATGCTCATCTGTTTTTGGCAATGCTTTACTGATTGTTAGCAAGTGTCAAAAAGTGTAAATACACAGGATGTGTGATTTCCCCCCCCCCATTATTTTTTGGCTTTGTGTTGCATTTAGATGCAACAGAAAAATCCATTTTGTGCTGTTTCTCAAAAGGAAGTCGCTCACGTTATTAGGTCTCATCACTACTTGATATGAGGATCACACTTGAAGGCCAAACATTGGTGCCAAAGCAAGGTTAGCCATAAAAACCATACACTAGTATGGAAAGCCGTTTGAACATTTACTCCAGATCCTTGATATCCAGCTTGAGGTCTATGTATTGGTAAGCTCTTTGTTCTCACTCGCAATAACAATTCAGCACACAGTAGAATGACTAGGGCGCTCTCATAAAATGATTGTCCTAATAGGAGGGTTTTTTTTTCTACAATACTAGTGCCCCTTTTGGCTGACTAGTATGCAATTAAAATTTCTGAGTAAACTACTGTGCTGCACTACTACACTGTAAAATCACAACTTGTATTTTTGGGGCTAAAACAGTTATTTAAGTTGGAACAACTTTAAAATATAAATGATTTATAATTATGGCAACAGTGTTAGCACAACAAAGCAAGCAAGTTATTTGCTTCAAAAATATTTGCTGACTTTTATTGAAGATGCGAGGCCAATACAAGGGACAGTAGTTCTGTAAACCCGTTTCTTTATGAAAATCCGAAGATGATTTTTAGTTGATTTGCCCAACTTACAAATTTTTCTCAGTTTGTTGCCTTGAAATTATGAGCACCCACTTTTTCTTTTCAAATTTACAATGTACGAGGCCCAACTAGTAGTCTGTGTCACGTACCACTAGCCTCTGTCACGATGCGAGGTGGTGGTGGACCCCAAAAAAGCAGGCAGGAGGGAGGAGCAGGTTGTACTTGAAGAAGTGTATTAAAACAGAGAAAACTAAATCCAAAACAAACATAGTCCAAAGTAGCAAACAAAAATCATAACTGAAGCTAAAACAGAACCATGACCAAAACAAACCTGACAGCAGCAGAGAAACGGCAACAAACAAACATGACCGTAGTAGAGAGCAACAATGACCCGACCATGAGTGGTCGGGCTGGGAGTCCTTTTAAAACACTATTTACATAATGACCAACAGGTGTGCAGCTGCAGGGAGAGCCCTACAGTGCCACCTGTTGGTACCAAACCGAATCATGACAGCCTTCTTATCAAGGGATATCGCATCTTGACATCTAGGTTAAGGTCCACGTGCTACAATGTCTAGTACAGTGGTTCGTAACGTTGTTAGAGGTACCGAACCCAACCAGTTCATATGCACGTTCACCGAACCCTTCATTAGTGAAATATTTAAAAAATATATATTTTACAAATTCATGACATTAAAAAAACACATTGTTTAGAACCTGAAAAAAGTAAATAAAATTACATGACCCAAGTATAGTTTTTTTTTAAATTGTATGACGTACTATCACGACAGTCACATGGTGACTACTGAGCGAACTAAATTTCCCGCAGCACTGGCTGGACAAACAATGTAATGTGATCATCTGCAGCCAGTGGGGGTGTCATAACTAATTGACATGTTGAGTCGGGTGTGTCTTAACCTCCATGGCAAAGGCTCCGTCGAACCCTTAGACCGATTCACCGAACCCCCAGGGTTCGATCGAACCCAGGTTAAGAACCACTGGTCTAGTATGACCTCACTGGTAGGACAACTACAGATCACTAGTGAGGCAAAACTGTACTAGTTGACATCTGGATGTTTCAGGTACTGCTAGCACGAGAAGTTAGCTTGTAGTACTTTAGGTCACATAAAAACTTTATTTGTACGTATTAGTACAGTGACAAGGGTGCAACAGTAGAAAAATTATCCTGCGAAAAATGTGGGGGTGCGGGGGGGGGGGGTTCAGCTACTACCATATACTACTGTTTAACATCCCTGCACAGTAGTAGGACAACTGCATGTTGCTAGAGGGGCAAAACTGTGTAATAGATGGTATCTGCATGCTGTTCAACTACTATTGAAGCACACCATTGTCAATTAGTGCACAGTTTTGCCTGACGAGTAAAGTAGAGGTGTCCTACTCTTGTCAAAGTTGTCCTAAAGACAAAATGTGGACTTCGACCTTAAGGAAAGGTGGCCCAGTAGTCAAGTGGTTGGTGTGTCGACCTCACAGTGCAGTGGTTGTGGGTTCAATCCTGGCTCCGGCCTCCCTGTGTGGAGTTTGCATGTTGTCCCCATGCCTGTGTGGGTTTTCTCTAGGTACTCCGATTTCCTCCCACAAACATCCAAAAACATGCATAGCTGGCTGACTGAACACTCTTAAGTTGTCCCTAAGTGTGAGTGTAAGCGCGGATGTTAGTCTCTATGTGCCCTGCGATTGGCAAACAGTTCAGGCCGCCGCCTACTGCCCGAACACAGCTGGGATAGGCTCCAGCGTGCCCCCGGATAAAGTGGATCAGAAAATGGATGGATGTATGGACCTTAAGGAAATCCGTCTTAACATTTATTTGATATCGAGTTTAAGATCCATGTCTTACAGTACTGCAGTAGAGCTGGTCATCACTTGAGTTAGTTTGACACAACTTCTGGGGTTCTTCATTTGACCCAACTTTTTGTTTTGGGTGTCAATTAAATGACCTGCAAAACGAAAACAACCTTCGTCCTCAAAACTAAGACAGTAATAACCTGGATGCATTAGTAGAACTGTGTCGGACTAGTAATTTTTTTCCACTACTATATGACAGCTCTGCACACGAGTAGGACAAATAGAGGTTACCAGCGTCTAAAAGTTGGTAGGTCAAAAATTTGCCAATTTGGGGTTAAAAAGGAGCTGGCCATCACTTGGCTTAGTTTGACAAAATTTTGGGGGTTCTTCATTTGACCAAACTTTTTGTTTTGGGGGTCAAATGAATAACCTGCAAAACGAAAGCAACCTTTTGGGTTGTTCGTTTGACTCAACTTTTGGGGCTCTTCATTTGACCCAAAACAAAAAGTTGGGTCAAATGAAGAACCCAAAAACTTGGGTTGAATCGACTTCAGTGCCAGTCGGTCCCTCTTTGACCTATACAGTAATTGGGTAATTTTGACCCAACTGGTTTTAGGTGTAGTGAGGCAAAACTATACATGAGCATTTGTTGTGTGGGGTAAGATAGTTGTAGTTCTGAATTGTTTTATTAATGAGGGTAAAGTGTACGAGGTACATGAACCTTAAGCTTGATCGCACGGTTTGGGAACCACTGCTCAAACAGGGTTTCCACACATGAGGTGGTCTGTTGTACATAACGCGTGCACGCTGAAAAGTATGTCCGCAGCAGGATCCTCATGGCGTGGTTATGTTTTTTTTTTGTTTGTTTGTTTTTGGACCATTTCCTTCTTGCTGTCTTCAACGCACTTAAAAGTACCTGTCGTGTCCTTCTCTTTATAAATGAGATGTATTTGGTGTACTCGCAAAAGTCTTGGAGACGTGTAATATTTCAGGACTGTTGATCTCTGTCTAGATTGGGAAAAAAACTGTACAGTGAATCCCCCCCAAAATTCAAGCAAATTTTCTTCACTATTATTTGGTGTGTAATTTGGATGAAATGCAAAAATGTGTCAGTTTGTTAATTTATTATTTATAATGTAATCACGTTAACTACAAATCCTGAATGGAGGAAGTTAAGAATAGGCATGATTTTTTTTTTCACCCATATGCCTGTAAGGAAGCAGTGTTGTCTCAGTCGAACTAAACTACACTGTTGATGTGTATTGTATAAACAATGATGGACCTTAAAACAGCTGTTGGTGGTGTTTTTGAAAGTGACCATGCAAGGGTTGTTGGCCTGCAAATTGAGTTGAGTGCAACTAAGGTGGGTTAGGGTAGGACTGTGCATACTTTACATTCCACCATATTATTCCCACCTTTACCTTTTGCTTTGTTTTGTTTCTTGTTTTGGATTTTTTTTCTTTCGCATGTTTGCGGGATGTAAGCGGTTCCTTGGGTAACGCAGAAGCAAATGTGTCTTGGCTGTTTCTTATTATATTGTGTTGGATACATTTTGGTGGTATGCTTTCAGGATTTTTATCTTAGTTTATACCTGTTAACATCTTTAAATGTATATATATATATATATATATATATATCAACTGTGACTGTGTTTTTGAAAAGTAGATTGTCTCTAGTTGCAGCCGTGTCAGCTCACGGTGACAGATTATTGCTGAATTTGGTCAAGTCGCTTTCTTTTAAACAGGTCATGACTATTTAGGTTGAAATAAACAACAACAACAAAAATAAGACATTTCGATTATTAGGGAGTCCTTGGTTAAATGTCCCCCGCTGTAAGAGGTCCTCAAAGTTGAGAACCTCTAAATTAGGACATTTAAGAAAGTGAGTGAAAGGGTCAAATGTGTTAGTTCTCTAAATTACAATATATATATATATATATTTTTTTTTTTTTTAATTCCTTGTTTTAATTTGACATTTAGCGAGTTGGCTCCCCAGAAATTGTTGGCCATTGCGTGCGTGTTGCTCTCCATGTGAGGTGTTAGACTGTCATTTGCTCTCAAAATCCAATTTTTGTGGTTTTAGTGTACTTCCCCAACAATCCCCTTGTTTCCATGACAACTGGACCTTGTGAACTTCCTACTATGTGGGGATGTTGTTCAGACTGATGTGCCAATGTCTGTTTTTGTTTTTTAATTGTCTTAACAGTGCTTGAATAAAATACTCAAAAATAAAGGACAACTGAGTCCAAACTTGCAATGTGTTGAATATTTTTCACCTGTCACGCACACTTGCAATTGGGTTGCTACCGTATGTTACTACACAGAGGTGGGTACCATAGCCAAAACTGGACGATTAGGAGGGATGAACTGTAGCTTGTATTCATGTGCTGTGTTTGAGCATCCTCTTGTCTGTTTCTTAACTTCATACATGGCAATTTTCCGCGGATCCGCGGAAATCCGCCGTTTTATTTCTTAAATTGATCATTTTTGTGAATCGTCTAAATCCGTTGAGAAAATTTTAGGGGCGGTCAGGTACCTTATCGTCGAGTTTTCACGAGCTCTCCCGAACAGTCTCTCCGTTTTCCGTTTGTAAACAGCCCCGCGATTGGACGTGTATGAAAGCTTCAACTAATCAGATCACTGAAGGCATTATTTGTTGCGGAAGTCTTAGCTCGATTATAAACGGCCCAGCGATTGGTTAACTACAAGCGATTGGACCAATCAAATTGCATGTAACATATTGTTTTACCTGATTCATGGCGGCCTGTTCGTCTCGCAAATTCATTGTTCTGGGATCGTTTTGAGCGGAATTATGAAAATTTTGACGAAAGATCAGGAGTCTTTAATCCTAGAAATTGACTCAAATGTCAAGAATAAATT